AAATGAATGTTCTGCGTTGGACGTATTGATCTCTGCACTTGAAGTTGCATTCTGTGTACAATCGATAACACCGTTGATGTGGTGCTGACTTAGCGGAATGCGTCCGTGCCAAGGTCAACTGAAAGTCACTGAAATGTCACGAGTAGCTCTGCTCGAACACGGGCAAATCGCAATGCGTAAGCCCATGGGACATAAATGATGACAACAGCTGCTCATCTTATTGAAGGGGAGCTGTTGTGGAAATCAAGTCACACAGTTTAGCTTAATCACAGTGCAAACTGAGGCTTTCTTTACAAGCCATTCTCTAAAGTCCTTAACATCCGGTGTTGCATCATTGCCTTACTCATATAGTGTGCTTTATTAAGGGCTGTTAGACAAACTTTCAATTCAAAAGTCTTTTTACACGATCCCTGTGAATTGTGGGATTTGTTTCATTGACACCACAATTACCAACTCGTTATAAGTGCGATATTTCATAGAACGCATTTACGTAGACCAGATTTCTACCAATTGGCAAGCAAAAGGCGAGATTAATTAGGGCGACTGCTTGTGACCACTTCGTCTTCTTCTTCCAGGAACAATGTCCACGCATACATTCGCACAACACGGCGAATTGTGAAGTGCAGCTTTCTCGTTCATCCATTCATCACAAATCATTTTACGAACACGGGCGATTTGCAGTGTGCAAGTACATGGGACATCAATTATGGTATCAGCTACTCACATCAGAGAACGGGGGGTGACGTGAAATTCAAATCATAGACATTAGCCTAATCTCAATAAAGCCCATGCCATCTTTACAAGCGATTCTCTACAGTCCTTATCATCCGGTGTTCAATTCCTTCTCCAAAATAACATTTAACCCAGGAATCTCTCACTAAAAGAAACGCATGTGTTGTTGTGTCTGCGTGGGTGCCGTCATTTGCAAACATTTCCAACTCAGCCACATTCAAGATACCAACACGATATTTCAATGTGCATACCTAGATATAATTAATTTTAATTGAAGACAGATTTCATCTACACATCACACGACCAAATGTGTCACCAACATCGACGCAGGTTCTCCGATTCCCTTTAGGCACTCTAACGTTCAAGTGCCACATCCTGCTTTCCCTACCACCAAAAAACAATGTCGATCCCACGCAAATCGACACTTACAACCACACCTCTTGCAGGTAAACCTTCAACAGAAAACACATTATCGAGAAATAACACATGTGTTGTTGTGTCAAACGTCTGCAAAATTGCCTTCATCATTCTTCTGACAAATAAACTACACCGCGCATACCGGTGATTCAGGGAATACACATTGCGTAGCTTAACGTGGAGGAATCCAGTGAGACCACGGCCAAATGCGCATCTTGCAGAACTGACGAGAGACGACTCAAGACAGATAACAAGAACAAGTGTATTTGCAATAAACGCATCAGTAACAAGCAACCAACAAGCGTAATCGCGAGGTCGTCAGTCTGGCTGCCCACGCATGCATCCGCACCACACCCGCGCCATTCGTTCCTTCAATCGCTTGCGCCACTGCATTTCAAAGGAAAAAAACATATCCCAGTCAATCAGCATGCTGTGCACCAGGCATTTTATTGCACACTACGAACAAGCACAAAACTCACTGATGTGCGGCGGCGTTTGCGAGGGTCAACACTTTCATCTGCAAAAGTAGGTGACAATTAGGCTGGCGTAAAGACGAATACAAATACGCAAGTGAGTAGGCTTTAGAAGTAATTGTGAGTTAGCAGCTGACAAGGAGACGGGGAATTGCTATTCACTGAATCCATGTGTGGACTTGCAACTACGGCTTCTGTGCATCGAGCAGCGAGATATTGCTAGTTTACCCAACCGACACCTATTCTGACTCATGGCAACCTCGGCTCACTAGTCTGTGAAGGCCATCACAAAGACAACCTCCCATTTGCTCATCACATTGCATCCAAACGCAAACGCTAACCACCCACAACCCATTCATATTAACATGGTGTCAGATCACCGTTAGCGCCATGCACGGCACCTAACTCATTGTCACGACTGCAGCCAAGAGAACAAGCAGACTGTTAACATGTTAACCGTTCGTGCTAACAATCACACCACTTGTCACTCTCGGCCCCGATTCCTATTAGTGATCATCAACACTGTTCCATTTCTGCTACCTACGCAGACTCTTGCCTGCACGCATTATGTCAAGTTAGGAGGATAATGAAAATGACACTTCAGGATTGCACTTGATTCCAAGTTACTCCGCCAACAAGCAAGCCTCATAAAACACAAATGAGCACTCACAGGATGGCGATCCAATCCCATTGTCCGATTCATTGTCTTCGCGTGCAACAATGAGTTTGCTGTCATAGTGCACTACTCTTCGATCATTGACAATGTCGCATTCCTTCGACGCATCACCGTCAAACCACAAGCAGACTGTCATGCTCATGATGAGCACTTCACAGTCTGTCTGGTCGGCGGACACCCGACACATGGAAGTGTTCCATTTATAGAGATCTGAAGGCAAAGTGATGTAAGAAACATTATGTTGCGGTGCAATCATGCGAGAAGAGGCAATGATGTGCACGCTTCGACTCACAAGATTCACGAGATTGTGGGTCATGCCGGAGGCCACATGCAAGCAAACGAATAACCAGGAGATTGATTCGAAATTGCCACTTGCAAGCTGCGAGTGCTTTCAAGTGACCCACGTCCACCATCTCCCCCACCGCCTCGGCATCCTCCTCCTCCTCCTCATTTTCCTCGTCCACCTCTTCGTCCACCTCCTCGTTGTCGGCTTCGTTCTTCGCCTGCTCTCCTCCGTCCTCCTCATCGTCGCGAATTTCCACTGGAACGATCGCACATTCATACGCGCCTGAAAACAAGACATCTAAGCCAGGCACATATTTGTCACTCACGATGGCTCAATACAGCCCTTCTAATAACAGTAAAAGAAGTATAAGAGAAAGAAGAAGAAGAAGAAGCATGCATTAGGAAAAGTGAATTTTAATGCGGTTTGCGTACCGTTTGGTGTCAGACTGAGGGACGCCTCCGCGCGACTCTTCCCGCATGTCGCCTCGTGACTGAAGCACAAGCCCAACGCATTCAGGGCTGCAATGCAAAAGACATGCATCGGCCAGTCGAGTGGTAGAAGCGACACAACACAAATGCCCAGCAGAGCCATCAGCGTCGCTGTGCTAACCATTTCTTGCCTAGTCGAATAACGCACACACTAAACTTGGCAGCAGCAGTTGACCAAAGTTGCAAGTGAATGTTCTGCGTTGGAAGTATTGATCTTTGCATTTGAAGTTGCATTCTGTGTTCAATCGATAACACCGTTGATGTGGTGCTAACTTGGCAAAAAGCACCTATGTCAAGGTCAGCTCAAGGCCACCGAAATGTCACCAATGGCTCTGCTTGAACATGGGCAAATTGCAATGTGCCAGCTCCTGGCACATGGTCGATGACTGTAGTCGCTCATCTGGTAGAGGGTGTGCTCCAAATCACATCTAGCAGTTAGGCTGTATCACAGTCAACTGATGCTCTCCACGAGCTGTTGTCCACACGGTCTAACATCTGGCGTCGCACCATTGCCTTGTACCTAGTTTGACCTCTACTTCCATGATAGCCAAGCCCATCGCTCTTGACTGACATGTCCTACACGCATTAATGTATTTGACATCAGCTTTAGCTGCCACCCCAAACGCGTGAATCAATCAGACACAGCGACAGCAGTTGATGGTTAACTTCAGTCACGTCACATCTTCTCTTAAGTGCACACCACCGCAACCGTGATTGCCTACACGGGATCGGTTGAAATGCTTTTCAATGAGGAATCATTCCAATTCTAAATAAGTACTGGTACTTTTAGTAATAAAGATATGCGACCTGGGTTTGTTTTGAAGATGTGCACATCATAAGGCTAAGCGTTCACTGCGATGCACATCACAAGGCTAGTTACTGGCACAATAATGTATGCGGGTGAATGAGAGACTGCGTAAAGGTGGTATTAGAACGTCAGTTCTTTCCAACACAGCAGCAAGTCTCACTGAAATAACCTCACCACCATTGGGCAGTAGAGTGTAGCAGTGACACGGATGGTTGGACCCATTATTTCCTACCAATTTGCTCGTCCCACGTCCAAGGTGTTACCGCGAGGGTGACAGCAGCAGCAGCAGCAACAACAGCAGCAGAACGCGTTTCCATGCCACTCGTGCACGGTCGAAATTCACTGACTTGTGTTTCAGTCAAGATCACAGCTTTATTCACAATTTTCACAAATTTGGTTCCACAGGTGACTTTCTTACTCAATACCGATCCTCATAAGTGTGGACATTCGCTGCGTTGCACATCACAAGGCTAGTGACTGGCACATTAATTCACGTGGGTGAATGGGAGACTGCGTGGAAACGGTATAAGAACGTCAGCTATTCTGCCCCCCACACAGCAGCACGTCTCACTGAAATAACCTCACCACCATTGGGCAGTGTAGTGTAGCAGTGACTCGGATGGTAAGACCCATAATTCCCTGCAAAATTGTTCATCCCACGTCTGAGGTGTGACAGCAGCAGCAACAGCAGCAGCAGCAGATCACGTTTTTGCGTTTTTCGTGAACATTCCTCTTGACTGCATTCACGGCTCTTTGCCCAACGTCTAACTATGACATTTGTCAAGTGAATCTGCTTACTACCGAGGCTTCTCTCTTCCACTCCACGTTTGCAAACTCCTTGCAAACATGATTTCATGTGACTCACGCATTCCTTCATTGTGAACCTGTCAGAATGCAGGTGATCCAATTCAAACGAACAATTTGCGTTCACTTCATTTCTAACAATTAGGAAACGGAAGTGTGTCCACTTGAATGAACATCGGCACGATTTGCGGACGTCAAGAAGCGTAGGCACGGAATCGGCAATGCCGAGATTCACCTGGCAGATTCTCGAAAGTGTCAGCGCGTACAGC